AGCAAAACTGAAACTCCAAGACCACATTTCTACTAAAAATAGAAAAAAATAGCTAGGTGCAGTACACCTGTAGTCCCTGCTACTCATAAGCCTGAGGCAGAAGGATGGCTTGAATACAGAAGTTTGAGGTTGCACTGAGCTATTGCACGCTAGCTGGGGCAACACAGCAAGACTCTATTCCAAACATAGGAATTTGGACTTTTTTTTTTGAGACAGAGTCTCACTGAAGCTTCTGTGGCATCATAGTTTACAGCAACCTCAGACTCTTCTTTTTTTTTTTTGAGTCTCACTATGTTGCCTTGGGGAGAGTGCCGTGGCATCACAGCTCACAGCAACCTCTAACTCTTGGGCTTAAACGATTTTCTTGCCTCAGCCTCCCGAATATCTGGGACTACAGGTGTCCACCACAACACCTAGCTATTTTTTTGTTGTAGTTGTCATTGTTTAGCAGGCCTGGGCGGGGTTCAAGCCTGCCATCCCCAGTGTATGTGGCCAGAGCCGCAGCCACTGAGCTACAGGCGCCGAGCCTCAGACTCTTGGGCTCAAGTGAGTCTCTTGCCTCAGCCTCCCAAGTAACTGTGACTATAGGTGCCTGCCACAATGCCCAGCTATATTTTAGAGACTGGGTCTTGCTCTTGCTCAGACTGGTCTTGAACTCCTGAGTTCAGAGGATCCACTTGCCTCCCTCCCAAAGTGCTGGGATTACAGGCGTGAGGCACCAAGCCCAACCCAGCCTAGCCCAGCCCAGGAATTTGTATTGTGAGACCACTGTCTACCATTTTCCTCCTTTGCCAGCAAAGTTCTATTTCTGTCTTAAAAAAAAAAAGTTAAATATAAAAGAAATAAAATGTGGAGATATCTTCAATTTGGAACAGGAAAGAATATTTTAAGCATAACCAGCAAAAAAAGAAAACTGATGAATTCAACTACATTAACTGGAAAATTAAAAAAGCAGATGTACATTGTATCATTGTTCTTTTATACCATACACATACATTATAAATACTTGGTATTTAAACCAAATACATTTTAAAAATAATGTCTATTTCAGGCAGCACCTGTGGCTCAGTGGGTAGGGCACCAGCCCCATATACGGAGAGTGGCGGGTTCAAACCTGGCTGAACAGCAACAAAAAATAGCTGGGCGTTGTGGCGGGCACCTGTGATCCCAGCTACTCGGGAGGCTGAGGCAGGAGACTCGCTTGAGCCCAGGAGTTGGAGGTTGCTGTGAGCTGTGTGACGCCACAGCACTCTACTGAGGGCAATAAAGTGAGACTGTGTCTCTCAAAAAAAAATAATAAATAAATAAATAAAATAATGTCTATTTCAACAGTGATTGGTTTACATCATATTCACTAACAATAAACAATAAGCATATAGAAGGTAAAATAAAATTAGTATTTTACAACCCTGTGCTACCGGTATTTCAAAAACAGCCATTTCTTTTCATTTGTTATAGGTTAAGCAACACTCATGGTTTCTCTTTATGCTTTAGATGCATAAAATACAGGGTAAAAAGGCCAGGCTCAGTGGCTCATGCTTATAATACTAGCACTCTGAGAGGCTGAGGTAGGTGGATTGCTTAAGCTCAGGAGTTCAAGACCAGCCTGAGAAAGAGGGAGACCCCCATCTCTATTAAAAACAGAAAAACTACCTGGGCATTGCAGCAGGTACCTGTAATCCCAGCTACTAGGGAGGCTGAGGCAAGAAGATGGCTTGAGCCCAGCAGTTTGAGGTTGCTGTGAGTTATGACGCCACAGCACAGTACCCAGGGTGACAGAGACTCTGTCTCCAAAACAAACAAACAACAACAAAATATATATAAACACACACCAAGACATACATATAGGGGGGAAAATACCAAAGCTAATGTATCAAAAGACTACACATACTGTGACTGAGTTTTATTACTCAGATGGCTCAGTATAAGACATATTTTCTCGGCTCGGCGCCTATAGCTCAACCGGCTAAGGCGCCAGCCACGTACACCTAAGGTGGCGGGTTCGAATCCCCAGCCTGGACCCGCCAAACAACAATGAC